GGATTTCCTTTAAATCTTTCAATATAATATAATGAAAATTCTGTTATACGGAAGTGTCCCAATTCAGAGCATCGGAGAGGAAGAAGAAGAAGAAAAATAAATCAATAAGAATAAAGGAGAGAGAACTGGGAGCTGGGATTAGCTTTTTCTGAGGATTTATGAGGAAGCTTCGAGAAAAGCTTTATTATTTTCTAGAAGAATGATTGGAAAATTAGATTTTTGAGAAGGATTAAGGATGACTGTCTTGTTTGAATCATAATAGTATTAGAATGTGCTTTATCAGCTTCAGATCCTATCGAGTGCTGTCTGTAACTAGTAACAAACCCCTCCTAATGTCCGACACTGATAAAACTATTCTCCCTGTTCTTATCACCTTCTGCACCTATTTTTGTGTACCGACAAATTTATAAAAATCATTTTTAATCAAAAAAAGTTTCACAGGTGACCCACAAAAGGTGTCACTAAATTCAATTTAAAATATCAATTAAGTTCCTCAAATTGAGCGGAAATTGAGAATTTTTATGCATGCATATTGAGGAACTAAAAAGTCGGAAGATTATTAGAGAATCTTTTTTTTGCACTCTTCCTTCTTTCCTCGTCGTGCTTTGTATTTTTTATGTAGCATAAAAATAATAAAATTAAGTTTATCAAATTATGATAATCGATTTTTGATTTATTTTATTTTCTTTCCTTTTTGATCGGACAATAAATTGATAAAAGATGACTAAATTCCTTCAATATTTCTTTGTTGTTGTGCTTCACACCTTTTGTTGCTTTATGTATGAAGTGATTTTCATGTAGAATAAAAGGATGAAGTTTAGTGCCAGGGGTGTCGAATGAGGAAAAATCTGTTACTTGACAATTTGAATTTTTTGTTTGACTGACAAATCTAATGAATAAATAGTTTGAAATTCAAAAAAATACGTTAAACTGTGTTGAATAAGAACTACTCAATCAAAAATATGCGGGAAAATTTGAAAATATAACGGAAAATATGAAATTGTTCAAAATTTAAGAAATAAACGTTTTTTTACCACCCCTGAAACTTGAGAATGAAAAAAAATTTGGGTGTGGAGTTTGATTAATTTAAGTGGGTCAGTTGACTGACTTCTGACATGCCTGGATTCATTTATCTATCCAATGCTCACCTCAGCAATCAGTCATACAATGAATATTATTCATAATTTTAGGTGTTGTTTTAAAGTGGAAAAAAGCTTTCACTTAAATTAACAGTTAAGAGGATGTAAAGAATGATGTCAAGTATCATAATGGAAAAATGTTAATTTATGCATAAAATGTGAATTAATTATAAACTGACAAAGTGTATTAAAAAAATTGTTAAAATCTAAAAAATTGATAAAAGAAAGTTAAATTTTCGAAGGAAATTATCAGAAAAATTAAAAATGTTAATAAGGTGGAAAAGCAAGGATAAATCTTCATCATCGTCAAGCTCGAAGAAAAAGCGAAAAGGACGTGAAGGTAAAGCAATAATAAATAATAAATTTTGATGTTTTCGTAAAAAGGTTCATGCTGCCTTACATTATTCTTATTATTACAATTATTTTGATGTTCTTTTTCCTCTCTTCGACCAAAAGAAGCAGCCATATAATGGATACCGTAAAAGATGCTGGCTTACAAAGGTCACAAAAGTTGCGACGAAAAATTCCTCTAAAGTCAAACAATTTTTTACGACAAAAATATTTTCATTGACAGTTTTAAAATTTTTATTAGGCAATTACACAATAATTGCCATTTAAACTCACTGAGCCATCAATTTTTATCATCGATTTTTTTTTTTTTGTGTGTGTGATGGTGAAATAATGGATTGTCAATCACTAAATGTGGAGTTTTGGTAATAAAAGTGTGGCTTTTGAGGCTTTTTTTGTGTTTATGAGGATTATTTTTGTGTGGCAGGGGAGGGGGGGGGGGGGGTAATTGGTGATTTAATCGGATAATGACATAATTAAATAAATTCAGCTGTTCAAATTGGTTAAAGTTCAATAGAATTCAGTGGGATGGTTCATGTGGGTGTCAAAAAATTGATACTTATTTTCTAGTCGTTTTTAAGGCTGAATTAAGGATGTTTAGGGCCAACTCTGATACCCACTTAAAGTAGTTCAGCTATATAAATACCTCTTGGCTTAACCAAAGTCTACTAAATCCCCTTTTTACGCAAATTCCCAAGATCCACAAAATAAACTTTGAACTTGCCAAAATTACATCACAATCCTTTTCATTTCCCCAGAAAACAGCATCAAAAATAGGTCACAAAATCAATTCAACCAAAACCAACAATCATATCCACAAAAGCTTTCAATCCCAACTACATATCCATAAACCCATAATTTCATCAATATTTCAAAAACTTTAAAAGTACATCAAGTGCTTATTTAAAATGCATTAGTCGAGGCAATGCTCCCATGATTCCCTGAATGGGAGCACTTTCATTATATCCATACATGCGATGGCCATCAACAGAAATCATACATTTATGATAATAATAATCAAGATATTCCCATTGGATTGAGTTCTGATGGAAATATAATGTTGGCTGTAATAACTAGACATAATAAATGCTCGAACTTGCGTGATGTACAAACCATAATTAATAATTCTATTGGGTATCATGAATTTTCATTTAAAAGTAGCTTCGTAAATTAATTACTTAAAGTTTCAAGAAGCTAGAAAAGTTTTCTTCACAGCTGAAGTTCTAGATAAATTATTAAAGTTCTAGATGCATTTAGGCAACCAAATTATTATTTGACTTTCGTCTAACCTCAAGCTTGTTTTGACATCTAATTTTTTGGGTATTTATCTGTCCTGTCGCTTTATTTTATTAATGCTTGATATATCCACAGATATTAAATCATTTTTATGTACCCACCCTGCCTTAAATACATTTTGATTTTGTTTTGGGTGTTGAATATCCGGAATTGCTATTTATATAGATGTTAAGCACGTGTAACCAATGAAACAGGAAAAGTTTACACGTGTGGAATTATTTTTTTGGTATATACGCAAACTCCCATATGTACTTATTCAAATATCAACAATTTACTTATCGCGATGAAACTTTATTTCCGTGTGGTTATTGCTGTATACTTTGGATGGTGATGGATTGTTTTATTGCATTTCAAAATAATTTTATGTCGTGAGGTTGGGATGGGATTTTAATTTTTTGAGAAACTGTCCACATTGTGGACATTAAGTTAATGCTAGTTGTGGAGTTAAATGACTGTCATTTTATGTCTGGAGTAAATGGATTTTAAATTAGATGCGGCAAGGATTTTACATCTACAAAAATCAAAATTAACTTCCATTATTTGCTAAACTCACTTAAAGCATCCTTTCGTTTCCTTCCATTCTTAAAATTCAATTGAAAAGAGTCTTTTGATGACAGAACTCAGTTGTAAATTGCATAAATTATGCACAAAGCAGATTCAGATATTTCAATAAAGCTGAAGACAGTAAAATAAAGAAGACGAGCGCAATGAAAATGTCATAAAAAAGTTTAAATCAATTTTCTGATTCAGAAATCAATACGATCAAAAATTTAATTAGTTTCAATAAGCAGGGATTATATTAAGAGTAAGTTTAATTAAATTATCAATATCAACACTTTTCCTCCTCGAGAAAGTTCATTAAAAAGCATGCAGCAACTTATCGCTATCTAATTCCCAATAGTTTAAAACTCATTTAAATTATTGCACAATCATTGCTAAAGGCGTTTACGTAGATGAAGAGGAAGAAACTTTTAAAGCTAACAAAACATCCACAAAAGAAATAGGAAGACTGGAATGTTAAAGGAATAAGAATTATTATGACAAAGTTGACGATGAATTAAAATGAGAAATGGAAATTCACAAAGCAAAAGAAATGGAAAAAGACGAGAAAATAGGGAAGTTCATACCGGAAATTACTTTAGACCATTGTCGCTTGTAGCAAGACATTTGGTTATGACTGTGATGGAATTAAATCTCTTTGTGATGAGGAATTGCTGTCATGTTGATTTTTATGGGCTTTTGATGGAAATATTGCTTTGATATTGTCTTAATGCAGACTTTAAATGAGTACAATTGACTTTTAAAGTTTTATTGTGCTAGAGTAGAGATGATTGTGAGTCTGCATGGGCTTATTATCGATCATAGAGAATGTTTGAAACTAGATTAAATTCAAAATCTTTAGCAATTCATTATTTTTAGGAATATTGCGTCACTTTCGACAAATTGAATCAATTCAGAAGTGTTTTGATGTTCCTTGATACTTCTCTTCATCCACAAATTCCTTTCCTAATTGCTTGGACTTAGTTGAATCGCAGTGCCTCCAGCTGAAAGGCTGGAACCTTCACACATTATTACTTGGGCTTCATTTTAAGTACTGAGACATTACATTGATTCTAGATCTGCTTAGGTCTACCCAAGCATCCTTTTTTAGACTCAAAGATGTTGATTCTAGGTTAGCTTTAGGAACTAGGCAAGAGCCAAGCTATTTGACATATTGTGCAAAGGTTAAACCACAAAATAAGAAAAACCACATAATTGCATTTTCATAAAATAAAATAAAACTCAATTCATGCAACATTAATCCTCCAACTTGCTATAAACTGTCAACAAACTAACAACGGATGTCAAACTACAAATTAAAATTCACGAAGCATTATCCAAGCAAAAAACCATTTAACTTAGCCTCATTTACAAAAATTTTCATTTCCAATTTCCTCATTTTCTATTATAATTAAAATCATGCTGTGGATATGATGGAAAATTTTCATATTTATAGACACAGCACTCACAGAACAATGCCAATGAGTTGAAAAGTTGAAGAGTTTGCTGATTGAATAACTTTCAATTCAGTGAAAATTATAATTAAAATGGGAAAAATTTTATGAATGGAAATTCTTCAGAAATAATTAAGTTTAATTGTGTTTTCTGCTTTTTTATCATCATCTGACATACCAGCTGTAATACTCATTATTTGTGTTTTTATTATTATCTTTACAGAAGAGGATTACCAAAATGAAAAGTCAAGTCGGAATCAACAAAATGAGCCAGGTGAGTTCTTACATTTACTTAGTTTTTAAAGTCTACAATTTAAAGTAACGTGACGACGGAAGCCTTACAAAAATTGCCTTGTTTAACATAAACCGGAACAAAATTTAAATATTCAAACTCTTTCCTCTCTTTTTATGTATTTTTTGATATGGTATTAGCCAAAAAAAGGGTTTCAATTTTCATGAATGGTGCACATATGTGCGCTTCAGAATGTATAAAAGCAAGGCGTTAATGTAATTTGCTCCTTTGCTTACTCATTATGACCGTAAAAAAGATAGTTAACTTTGTTGGATGGGAGGTACTTAAGCGCTTTTATTGGCTGAATTGAAGAAAAGTCTTTCAAACTTATTGGATTATTTTATGAGAAATTTTTAAAAGCTTTAAAGCTTTGATAAATTATTCGGATACAAGACTGCGAAAATAGGTACAATGACAAGCTTTTAAAGCTCATGGATTTTTCAGGATTAATCCTGAATGTAAATGCCTTGATAAAATATTAAGTTGAGATAAATTGAGTTTAAAACTAAACTAAGCCTGGTTTCTATGAGAGCTCGAAATCGACTCGAAATTTTCATCGATTTTGTATGTCGGAGCCGACTTGACTCCATACAAAAAATTCATCGACTTCGAGCTCTGGTTTCTACTTGAAGTGTCGTAAGCATTGTGCGAAACCTTATCATATCGACACAACACTTTATATAATCAATTGAGATATCGGTCTCTGGTGGGAATCGAACCCACGTCATCACAAAAGAAGGTTACAGATATCCTGTCTGTTGACTAACCACTCGTGCCACAAAGACTTCACTCTCGCACTGGCAGATTCGCTTATATATGGCTCGGTACCCCAGATTCCACTTTGTTCAGACTTGAAACTAGAAACTTTACTACACTATAAAATTAGCTATTCTTTGACTGACTAAAATAGCTAATCCTCAAAAAGGTAGCAAAAAGAGATTCAATTTCAAACTAGCGACAACAATCAGGATAAAATGCAACAAAAAAACAACTCATTTTACCTCTTAAAGATGTTTTTTTTTTGCACTACATCCACGCCGTATAATTTTTTTTAAAAAACACATAGAAGCACACAAAATGTAAAGAAAAAAAAAGAGTAGAAAAAAATTATTTCCGTCTAATATTCAAACGATACGATATTCCTAATTGAAGAGCGAACAAAAAAAAAATTTCTCTCCTGGCCTCAATGAGAAATAATTTTTCATTCCCTAGTTTTCGTTCGATTTTTCATAAAAGCGGATCGAAATAATTGATCGAATTTAAAAATTCTGAATAAGTTTTTTTCTTCCATGAAACGAGAAAAATTCTTACGGTATCGCGCGTACATGTGAATTCCAATTGAAAATAAAATAAGTGGCAATAGAGGAAGTGAGAGAAGAAATGAAAAATCTTTTTAAATTGTGAATTAATGAGACGCAAGAGGAATTGAGACAAATTTCCTTCATATTATTTTTTTCTCGCCTTGAAAATTGAAAAAAAAATTATTTACGTTCGGTGATATGAAGGAACTGAATTATCTTCCTCCTCAGTGATTTTTGATAATGATTTCATGAATTTCTGAATAAATCTCGTAATATGATATTATAGAAAAAATTAATAATAAAAAAAAATGTCAATAGACTAACGCGAAAATATTGTGAATAACATTAATGTTGAGTGAAATTGTGTGTATGTTGGATAGACTATAATATTTTAGTGACTTTCTTGTGAGTTTTTCATTTATTATTATTAATATTGCAAAACCACACACGCTCATATCTCTTTCTCAAATTCACAAGAATTTACATTCGTACTTTTGAAGATCACATTGTTATTGTTATTGCGAGACTGATGATAAGCTCGTAAGACTGTCGGAGAATTTTTATTAATATACTTCTTGGTGTTTTTAACTGGTTTAATCATGTTCTATTTCGTTTATGACTTTTTCACACTGGATAAAATTTTTAATGAGCTTCTTACTTTCTTTCATGCTTATGGGGTCGTTTATAAGTTACGTGTAGATAGTTTGATTGGATGTAAAAGATTTTAAGATTCGCAGAGAAAGCTAAGATCAGTAGTGAAAATTAAAAGTCAATCAATACTGACTTCTTATGCTTTAGTCTTTAACATGTTTAGATCATCACAAAAACCTAATCTTAAAATGCTAGACATCACAAGTGTTCAACTCCCACGAGAATCTCAAGTTTTAAGAATTTCGCAAGTGATGAAATTGGATCTGGAAATACAACATACGTGAATGGAATTAATTAATTTATTTCCTACTTAAAACACCTTTTTTTACATCTAAAAACTTAAAATATTTTAAGTGGAAGATTAGAAACTTTAGTGTAACCATAAACATTACCTCAAATTGCTTAAACTACACGAAAATTTCAAGGAAAAACTTCACATTATTCTTTTTATGGATAGAATTTTCAATTGTAGAATGGATTTTTTTTTCGTAAATAATTGGAATAGTTCAAAGCTTGGATATCGATTGATGAGGTTTAAAAAACTATGTAGAATTGATTTATCATCATGTTAGCAACATAAACTATTTGAACCATACGTACTTCTATAAACAATTGGAGATTCTAAGTGCTGTGAAGATTATTTATGAATTATTGAATGTTCTTCAGTTTTGAAAATGTTTTTAAGAACATTTTAGAAGCTATGTGGATTTAACTTGGGAAAATTGTGTCATTTTTATTACTGGGATGGAACCAGAGGGTTTCAGATGACATTACATAGTTTTTCCAGGATACCTTGTCTTTTCACCAGCTAGCCACGATGTATCTAAATCCCGAAACAATAAATATATTTCACAAATTCTCTGTTTATTTACTTATGCTTTTATAAACCTAATGTGAATATAAGTATCCTTTATGATCGGATCAGATAGCTATAACAAATGGATATCAATGAATCAAAAAGAAATGAATATGATAAGATTAATCCTCACTTTTTCGTGGCGCGATAAATGCGTGATATCGCTTGGCTAGATTGATAAAAAGTGAAAGAAAAAGGGTAAAGCTAACTGACTGTCGAAATAGTCGAATAATTCGACTGAAAAATGTATGAAAAATGACCGTTATAATAATGAAGAATTTTCAATACCTCATGTAATATTTAATCAAATTTTGACTAACCTAGCCAGAATCAAAATCAAGAATCACTCAATTTATAAAATATATACTCACCAAGATCTTCCAGTTTGCCTCTATCAATTCTAATCTTAAACATAAGTTTTAAATTTCATTCAACTTTCCAAAAATCATTTCTAGTTTCACCTTGAACCTTGCGCTGTAAAATTCACATGTAACCCATTAAATTCCTCACATTTCACTTTAAACAATTTTATGACTCAATATTTCTCAAAAAAAGCAATAAAGAAAGATTTCAATGTCATTAAATTTAATTAACGATTTCTTGATTTTGATGTAAAATTAAAATCAGATCCATAAAATATTGCAATAAAGAAACTTAAGTGTCAGCAATATGACTATAATTATGACAACTTTGTGATTATTATGCGGCACGATCAATTTAATCATTGATAATTTTATGTGGCGGCTGCTGTGCTAACCTGACACACAGGTCTGGGCATATGTGATTTAAATGATATTGATTAAAGGGAACAATTGAATGAATTGAATGTTATTTATCATTGTTGGACGTTATTGAGAGTTGAGTTGTGAAGAAAGTGATTCATGGGCAATTTTTGTGAACTGAGAGATTGCAAATCGTGACCAGATGATGACTTGCAGGTATTAGCTACTATCCTATGATATAGATATGTTTGATCGCTTTCAGTTCACAATAAGCAGTGTATTTAAATAAATACATACTTTTAGAGGTTATTAAGCTCATTATATAAACAAATGGGCTTAAAACTAAGTGATTTAAATTTAACCAATAAAATTTGAATTTCAAAAGTCTGTTACTTCAACAATCCTAGCCAATAACAGCAAAATTGGAAAATTAAAGCTGCAAAACCTTGAAAAAAAAAACAATAAGCAGAAGAAAATGCTCATTGATCATAACAATATTAAGAATTTCTCAGTCAAAACATAAAAGCCACAATAAATTGACCATAAATTGTATTACATTCTCCTTTTGATGTTGTATGAGCATATAGAAATGAAAGTAAATTTTATTTTTCGCATGGCAATAATCGTAAAAAAAAAAATTTCATAGTAAGAAGAAAAAAAGTTCAATTGATGAACGAAGAAACGAAAAACAGATGTTTTGGTATGTTGATGTAATATTAGCACTATTTGATCACGAAGAATGCTGTTGGTGGGCAGCAAATTAATTAAAGATTTTTTTTTAAAAAATTTGTAAGTCATTTTTAATAAAACACGCACGCACGAATCTGTTGACTTTCGCATTATGTCATTCACTTTGTGTTGTCATAGTCAAAATATAGAATGAACAAGAGGAAGTAAAATGATGAGAAGAAGGAAAAAAAAGTTTTTTAATTTCGAGAGAAAAAAGAAAATTTTAAAAGAAAAAAAAATTGCACAATTTTTTTTCGCTGTTCGGCTCTCTTGAAAGACACAAAAAAAGTTGGTCGAGATAAAAATAATTCAAGCTGAAAGTTGACGTTTGATTAAATAACTCTATTGCCCAACTGGGTAGCATTCCATTTAATCAAATTTTTTTTTTCACCATGAAAATGCCACAATCTTGCCCATGGGACAAGAGATATTTTTTGTAATTGAAAGATAACGTGTAGCGAATTTTTTATATTTCGGATATTGGAAAAAATATTCTTTCTGACATTTTATTCTCATTGGTTTTTTTCCCTTCCTATTCTCGATATCAATTCACTAACTTTATTATCTTTTGGATTGAATTGGTCAGTATTGAGTGGTATTGCTGTAGTTTTTAGTTGTTGTGGTTGTAAAAATTTGTAATTGAAGGCATTTTTTGGGGAAAAGTTGTCTAATTTTTCAATTACCAATTTTTATCTGATCTGTATTATTAAATAAAGATGATGA